AAGGAAAACAGTTAGCTATGCTATTAATTTTAATTAGGAACAAAGTATCACTCAAAATAGAGCCTTGAGGAACACCTTCTTCTTGCGTGAAAAGCCTAGATAAAGTGTTGCCCATGCTGACTTGGAATCTGCGATTCTCTAAAAAGTTTTTTATGAAAATTAGCAAATTACCCTGCAATCCAAAATGGTGCAGATCACAAAGTATCCCATATTGCCAACAGCAATCATAGGCCTTCTCTATATCAAAAAACACAGACACTTAAGTGCTGTCGTCTAACAAACGCTTCGCTTATAGATGTTTCAAAATTTACTAAGTTATCGGTGGTACTTCTGTTCCTACGAAAACCACTCTGATGTGGTGAAAAGTATTCATTTTTCTCTAAGAGATACATCAGACGTCTGTTTCCCATCCTCTCAAAGAGTTTACACAGGCAACTTGTCAGAGAGATTAGTCTGTAATTACAGGGATTCTTGTGGTCTTTACCAGGCTTGGGAATGGGAATAATAATAGATCGCCTCCAAGAGTCAGGAAAAGTATGTTCTGTCCATATTCTGTTAAACAGACACAGGAGATTAGAAAGGGAATTGTTTCACAGATTTTTAATAATGCTGTAGTGGATTTTATCCGAGCCTACAGCACTATTCCCCGAGCGAGAGATCGCTGTATGTAATTCAATTCTAGTGAATGGATCATTATATTCCTCATTAGATGAAAAATAAAAATTTAAACATTGTTTTGCACTTTGGGCTTTATAAGCCTGAAAATTACTTGGATACGTAATATTACTGGATAAGGTTGGTTGGTGCGAGTTTTCTGGCACAAGGGCCATTCAGGCCATGCTGCGCCAAGGCAAAAGGTAAAATAAATAAATAAATGAACATAATATACATAACAAAATATAGATACAACACATAAACATGAATAAGATCAAATAAACAAAACAACAAAACAGATATAAATATATAATAAATAATAATAAAAAAAATATGACAATAAATAATCAATAAGTATATGAATAATTAATTAAATCTCTTTATAAATATTTACAACTTTAAGAAAGTTCAGTAACTTATCAAGTTTTGGCCTCTGGCCCAAAATCTCACTCAAACTTGCATTTCCAAAATGCTGTCTACGACATTGATCAAGAGCGATGCAATTGCAAAGTATGTGTTTAACACTTACGGTACAATTGCAGTACTGACATACTGCTTCGTCATCTCCCTTCAAAAGGTATTGATGAGTCAGTCGTGTGTGTCCAATTCTCAAACGAGTAAGGACAACCTCAGATCTCCTATCATACTGCCTATTGTGTGTCCAATTTTCTATCAAAGGTTTGATCTCGTGTAGTTTATTGTGGATTTGTGCGTTCCACATATTTTGCCATCTCTCTGCTAGTCGTTTTTTAACGACCAGCTTCAAATCACCTCCTTCAATATGCATTGTATGCTGTGAAGGGCTTGCTGACTTAGCAGCTGTATCAGCTTCTTCATTACCTCTTATACCCACGTGGCCTGGGACCCAACAGAACTTCACAAAAAAATTTCTCGTAGTCAGATGACAAATTAGTTTTCGAATTTTAGTAACTATGGAGTGTGAACTAGGTTCATACGAGATCAGAGCCTGAAGTGCACTAACTGAGTCAGTGTAAATCACGCAGCAGCGATGACCTTTCCTATTTATATACTTTAGGGCTAAATAAATAGCCTGCAACTCCGCAGAAAAGATGGAGGAATTCGGTGCTATTTGTTCTGCCACAATTTCATTTTGGCAAACAAAGGCTAGGCCAACGTAGTTATCCGACTTCGATCCATCTGTATAAATAGGAATTAAATTCCTGTCACAATGTTGAATTTGTGCGAAGTGCTGTCTATAGACGCAGTCTGGCGTGGTTTCTTTGGGGAACTGCTTTAAGCTTAAATCAACATCTATCGCTGGAATTGACCAAGGTGGAATACTATTAACCTCAACCTGTGAGATGTTGCATGTGTTAAGGTCAATTGTGCTGCTTACATTCTCCATTCTTATGATGAATGTGGGGACACTACTTCTCCGAGCTTCAAATAACCTTTTCAGCTGAGTATCTGATACTGTACAATCAACTGAAGGTTTAGTATGCGATTTCTGTTTTATATAATAGAAAAGAGACAACTGTTCTCTCCTGAGAGATAGTGGAGGCTCATAAGCATCCACATACAAACTTTGGACAGGAGAAGTTCGAAATGCACCAGTGCACAAACGTAATGCTTGATGGTGGATTGGATCCAGCATCCGAAGAGTAGATTCTCGCGCAGAGCCATAAACAATGCATCCGTAATCTAGCTTTGAGCGGACAATAGCCCTGTAAATCCTGAGCATAGAAACTTTGTCTGCTCCCCAGGATAAGCAGCACAGTACCTTTAAAAGGTTCAAAGATTTTAAACATCTACTCTTCAAATTGCGTAAGTGTGGTAAGAATGTCAGTTTGGAATCAAATATGACTCCCAAGAACTTTGTCTCGTTGACCATTGGGATTTTAACACCATTTAGGTGAATTTCAGGGTCCAAGTGCAAACCACGCCTTCGGCAAAAGTGGATGCACGAGGTCTTCTCTGTATTAAAAGTAAAACCATTAATCTTGGACCAATTGTCTATGCGATTTAGGGAGGTTTGCAGTTGTCTCTCGATAAAGCTCATGTTGCTAGACTGGCAGGAGATCTGAAAGTCATCCACATACAAAGAGTGTTTCACACTAGGGGGAAGACAGTTAGCTATGCTATTAATTTTAATTAGGAACAGAGTCACACTCAAAATAGAGCCTTGAGGAACACCTTCTTCTTGCGTAAAAGGCCTAGATAAAGTGTTGCCCATCCTGACATGGAATCTTCGATTCTGTAAAAAGTTTTTTATAAAAATTGGCAAATTGCCCCGCAATCCGAATTTGTACATATCACGGAGTATCCCGTATCGCCAACAGCGATCATAGGCCTTCTCTATATCGAAAAATACAGACACTAAGTGCTGTCGTCTAACAAACGCTTCGCGTATAGATGTTTCAAGGTTTACTAAGTTATCAGTGGTACTTCTGTTCCTACGGAATCCACTCTGATGTGGTGAAAAATAGTTCTTTACCTCTAGGAGGAACATCAGGCGTCTGTTTACCATTCTCTCAAAGAGTTTACACAGACAACTTGTCAGAGAGATTGGTCTGTAATTAGAGGGATTCTTGTGGTCTTTACCAGGCTTGGGAATGGGAATAACGATAGATAGCCTCCAAGAGTCAGGAAAAGTATGTTCTGTCCATATTCTGTTAAACAGACACAGAAGATTACAAAGGGAATTGTTTGACAGATTTTTAATCATGCTGTAGTGGATTTTATCCGGGCCTACAGCACTATTCCCCGAGCGAGAGATCGCTGTATGTAGTTCTATGCTGGTGAATGGCACATTATATTCCTCATTATATGAGGAATGAAAGTTTAAATATTGTTTTTCACTTTGGGCTTTATAAGCCTGAAAATTTCTTGAATACATAATATTGCTGGATGAAGTAGAAAACGTTTCACCCAACGTATCAGCAATACCCTGTATATCGCTGATTATTGTGCCATTATTTTCCAGCATGGACAGAGAGTGAGAAGCATATTTCCCATTAATTTTATGGATTTTATCCCAGACTGCTTTTGAGCTAGTGGAAGATGTTATGCTAGAAACATACTTCCTCCAAGAATCCCTTTGGCTTTGCCTTCTTATTCTTCTGGCATTTGCCTTTGCTTTTTTAAAAGCAACCAAATTTTCAGCAGTGGGGTACCTTCTGAAAATCCCCCAAGCTTTCTTTTGTGCTTTAAATGCTGCCTCGCAATTCTGGTTCCACCATGGTTTCGGATGCTTTGGGTATCTTGTTGATGTCTTTCCCATTGTTTTCTCAGCTGCCTGAATAATACACAAAGTGACAATTTCAACTGCATCATTGATATCAGCAGTATTGACCATTTCCTCAGTGATGTTAGCCAAAGAGGAAAATGCAGGCCAATCTGCCGTTTCCAGTTTCCAGCGTGGTGGACGGGCTGTTTCACAGCTTTCTCTGCCTCGATATTTTAGAAATATTGGGAAGTGGTCACTAGAGAGTGGATTAGATCCAACCTCCCATGTAAATGCTGAAAACAGATTCGGAGTTGCTAATGATAGATCAATGGCAGTGAACGTTCTTGATGGGGCATGGAAGTATGTCACTTCTCCAGTATTAAATAGGTACAGTTGGTGATTACCTATAAATCTCTCAATGGCTCTGCGTCGACGATTGATGTCAGGACTGCCCCACATAGGATTGTGACCATTGAAGTCACCCAATAAAAGAAATGGTGTTGGTAGCTGTTCAACCAAAGTATCCAATTCATTCTCATTCACTCTGACATCTGGTGGCAAGTATATAGAACAAACTGTGACAGTTACTCCAATAGATATTCTAGCCGCCATGGCTTGCAAATTAGTGGTGATTTGTACCGGCAAGGATGGGATGTGATTTGAAACTACAATAGCCACACCTCCACTGGCACTGTTGTGGCTATCATCATCCTTGCGTTAAAGATTGAATCCTTTTAAAGAAATATTTTCTCCAGGTTTTAGGTGGGTTTCCTGGAGTGCCACACAGAAAGATTGGGTAGAGGATGTCAAGTGTTTAATGTCAGAGAAGTTATTGCAAAAACCACGGCAGTTCCATTAAATTATTTTGTAATCCATTATGTGTTTGAGGTAGCATTCTTTGTGAAGGTATCCCTCTTTAGTTTTACGGCTGATTTGCCGTTTGGAGGTGATGTTGGTTTTGTCACCTTTTGATTAGTCTCTTCATCATAGATATCAGAAAACTCACTCATAGAGTGGGCTTCTGAGTTTTTATATTTAGAGAGAGCCGCTTTTACTCTCTGCTTGTTTAGTGGGTTTTTACTAGCCTTTTTAGAACCCAGGTTCCTTGTTATTACCCCTGCTTTAGGTAGGGGTGTTTTTGGTTTTATACTCTCCTTTTCTGGTGTTTCTTTTGGTGTAATCAGTAAACGTTTCGCATGCCTGGTGAGAGATTCCCCCGGGGAAACAGAAATATCGGTCTGAACTCCACATGTCCTTGTGCAGCAGCAAATGTTTTTTGTTTTAGTGGTGCACTTGAAGTGACCATGCGACGTGCCTCTGGATAAGGTAAGTTGTTTACTGTTTTTACACGCTGGATTTCTTTTTCTGTCTGCCATGCAGGGCATTTGCGAGAGTAGACAGGGTGCGCGTCTTTGCAATTCACACAGCATGGAGTAGTGGTACACTCAGTGCTCTGGTGACCTTCCATTCCACACTGTGCACATACATTCTTCCCTCGACAGGATGTCTGTGAATGTCCAAACCGCTGGCATTTGAAACAACGCAGTGGGTTTGGAACGTATGGACGAACTGGACAGCGCAGATATCCTGCAGTAATGAAAGATGGCAATGTCGGCTTCTTAAATGTGAGGATAAGATGTTTTGTTGGTATCAATTTGCCATCTCGACGAATAGAGATACGTCGAACAGCAGTGACACCTTGGTCTGAATGGCCAATCTGAATATCTGACTCTTCTTCAGACATCAGATCAACCTCAGATATCACACCACGAGATGAATTTAAACTTCCGTGTGGTGTGACAGTCACTTCCATGTCTCCCAGTGTCTTTATTGTTAAGAGTTTTGCCGACTGTTGAGGTGAGGCTGTTTCTATCAGTAAATCTCCCGATCCCAATTTTTGAATTTTTTTCAGATGTCCAATAGTCGATTCAAACAGTTTTTGTATTAAGAAAGGAAGGCATTTCGATAAAGGTTTTTCTCCAGTTGCGTGTATTATCAGATAAGTAGGTTGACTGAAATTGTTTTCCTTGTTTCTTGGTACTTGATCTGGTCTTTGTTGTTTTATAGTTTTTGGGTCCATATTGAGAAATAAATATTCAGCTCCTAGTGACCCCACCCACCATGGGACCCAACAAGTAGATGTCGTCACATGGGTGATTCACATAGACCGTCAAACCAGGGTTTCCCAGGAGCTATATTCTCACAATGCAGTCAAGAAGAGCACATCTGAACTGACAAGACAAAACTGTCAAGCAGGGACGCGTCCGCCCGGTCTGCATCGATCGGTTGACTCCAAGCCAAGGTCATGAATGACTCAACGACCATCTGATTGACTCAAACAGAGCCTGATTTGAGCCTCCCGTTCATCCGAAGCAGGGGCCAAAGCTGTGTGTTGGGGACGTTATGTTGCCCCTCAACTACGAGGATCCCCCTTTCTGGCATACGGAATACCACGCACGGCAAACACGTGGGTGGGCGTTCAGATCCCAGGGATGGTAAAGAAGACTTTCTAAACCATCTCTGGGAGGTCCCCTCACCACGGACAGGAACCCACATCGAGGGGGGTGTAAAGAAGACTTTCTAAACCATCTCTGGGAGGTCCCCTCACCACAGACAGGAACCCACATCGAGGGGCACTTTCAAATGATCGAGCTACGAGAAGCGATAGATACGCTCGAACAAACCCGGCTAGGCACCTATTTTATATCCTGTGAAATTCTATTTAAAACCCTGCGAGAGATCCAAACCCAACTTCCAAAAGGTTACGCAATGATTGAACCTATCCAACCCGATACCTTATTTAAATACTATCAGTGGATCTCTACAATTGCAGTCGCATTACCCGGTAAACTGAGAATCTTCGCCATAATTCCTTTAATCACTCCTAGTGGATACTTTGATATGTATGAAATCGAAAAATTTCCTACATACATTCCTACCTTAGAAACCTTTATACAAATCCAACCCAATTACCCCATTATTGCTCTCTCTCCATTATTGCTCTCTAACATATAACAAGCATATGTTATATGTTGCTGCATGTTATATGCAGCAACATATAAGACAATCTTATATGTTGCTGCAGAGGCACGAATTTGCCATCTGTCAAACAGCCCATTTTTCCTTATGTTTCTTAGATGTTCCTATTCACCGAACGCCGCACCAGAGTTGTGAATACTCGCTATTCAGTGGAAATGAAAAAAAGGTAAAGGAACTGTGTACTTGACATATAGTCTCAAAATATAATCCAATTTTTAAGCGCCTAAATCGTCCCGGAGTATGGATTTATTCTATATCTGAGCCACCTACATTAACTATCCGATGTCCGGCCCGACATCAAAAATCCCGTTTTTTAGCCACCACAAAAAAATTAAATCACACAGGGATGATTACCCTGCCGAATGCCTGTACCGGCTTCTTGCCCGGAATCATTCTTACCCCACACTTTCAACAACAATCAACTCTACAATTGGAGATTGCACAACAAATACTAGTTCCTCCTCTCGAACAAATACTAAATCAAACTGAGATACAACAACTGCAACAACATCTCATGGAGGTCAACCCGAAACTACAAAATTCCGATGCCCATCCTAATTATGATATAACAGTAGCTGAGCGAGATTTAGCTGTAGTCCAATATAACCTTAACCACTTGATTCGAAGAACAAGTGGATCAGTTCCCCAGGATGACTCTCTAGTTATCATAAAAATCGTTATCGGAGGTCTAGGATTTATTATAGGGGTAATTTGTCTCATTGGTGTTAGATATTATTATATTCGGTATAAGAAGACTCGACGTACGGTCCCTCCGCCTTCAACCCAATCCAATCCAGAAGAAATACCTATGAATATTAGAGAGGAGGGAACCGCAAACTCGAGGGGACCCAAAGACGTCCATTCCCGAGGAGTCCCGCTTCAGAGCGACCAGGTGCCACGAAGTTAGAAACCTATTGTTCAGTCGTATTAATAACCAATGTTAGCCCATAACCGAAATCTTTGTCTTCTTTCTCAGGTTTGATTCAATACTGTCTCTCCTCGTCCTTTGGATTGATATATATAGTTATATCTACTATTAATACTAGCCTCATGCCATCTCCTTATGTGTATTTTTCCCTTATAGGCACCACGGCATCCGCTGACACTGATGATTTCATTGCTACAATACTGAGCTGCCCCATTTGTTATAATGTAATCCAAGCGCCAGCCTATCAGTGCGTGAATGGACATCTAGTTTGTTCCACCTGCAAGCTGCGCATTATCAATTGTCATACCTGCCGGGAGCCAATGGACAATATCCGGAGCTTGACCGTCGATCAACTTACATCGACCTTAAGACTCCCATGCAAGCACCGCCAATACGGCTGCAACGAATTACTTCTTGAAACCGTACGGGCAGCACACCAGTGGAACTGCCCCTTTAGACCCATAACTTGTCCTTTCTCAACCCAAAATTGTGTTTGGAAAGGAGAACGTTCTACCCTCCCTTCCCATTTTCACAGCGCTCATCCCCAAATCCCAGACCTACACCGATCTTCTCTCCTTTTCCTGGGCATTCATTCTAACCACACCCCTCCCGTAAAATGGGCCGTTCTATAGTCCTGCTATAATCAAAAATTTTTCGTGTGCATTACTAAACATGAAGATTTGTCTGTCTCTATCTCCGTCCATCTATTGACTTCTTCTCCCCCTTCTACCTCTTTCACCTACTTTATTGCCTTTAAAAAAAGATCACAGTCACTTCAATGGACGTCCTCACTGATTCCACCCATTGAAGCCTCCACACTTTCCCCCTCTCAGCCTATGTTAAAATTATCAAGTGAACTTATCCATTCTTTCGGCGCACACAATAATCTAAAATTTTTCCTGTCTATTACCACCTCTTAATTCCTCTTTCTCCCCTTTCCAGATGAGTGAGCTCGACGAGTGGTGGAACCCCAACCCACCAATTCCTACGCAACCCACCCTGCCTGAGGTCGACCCGGCGTCCCTTCAGACAGCGTTAACCTTCACTAAATTACAACGACAAGCAGGGAAAACATCCACCACACTTATCCTGCCCGTCGGGCATAAATGTCCACCCACCAAGGAAGTAGCCTTCCTGGAGGAAAGGAATCTGATCGAACAATTTTATGAAAATAGGAACACATTTTTTCCCCCCACGCCTCGAGAACTCCCGTTTTGCAGCCTCCTCTGATGCAAGGAGGGTCCCGACCACCTAGGTCCCACAGACCACACCGATCACGCCACCCTTAATTCTATAAACCCCTCCTTACTATAAACCTTCTATATAATCCGTTATTCCAGTTTTCATGTCCTGAAATTACTAGTATAATATATAATATTCCTTATATCCCCTTTTTATATACAATTACATATAATATCATATTATCCATGTAAAATGTTGAATTATGCTATGTATATCCTTTTTATCTGTAGTATTTTATTTATCTAAATAAACAATTAACTTTTATTATCGTTTAATTTTCGTTATCCTGAATTCCACACATTCATGATATTAATTCTTAACCTTGCTTTCCCCGAGAGAGAGTAACGTCACGAATTTTGTATAACCTGTCATACCGTTATACCGATCTAGATTAATAAACTTTTATTCAACCATTATTATTAATACTTACTTTGCATATGAGAACAGTGCTTCCTTAGAATTCGAAGACTCCTAGACCATGACAAGATCCGGCTCGACCATTTCATCCTTCCTGTTCAGTCCCAAAAGCAACCCTGATCGATGTCGTCGCAGCGAAGGAAATACATCACCAGATATAGACACATATATCGAACTTAAGAAGAAAAAGAGCTTCTCTTCGTGACCAGTAACTCCATAGAGGTAGTGACCTTCGACCTAATCTCAGAGAACAACATTTCCTCGAACTGTAAACCAGTAGCCTCGTAACCAGATCTACCGAAACTTAAAACACCCAATCTACAGCCAGGAAATTTATAGCTAGCAAGGAAAGCATTTCCCCAATAGCTGTAAATCAACCATTCACCTTCTGTTTGTAATTAGCAATCTATAAATAAGATCAAGGTTACAATAAATGTCTAACTTCACGTCATTACCTATCTATATGTCGAAAAAATTCAATGGTACCCCGAATATTTCTTTATCTTGGTATAAAAATGTAAATTTAAAAGAGAGAGTAATTTATATATATATATTGCCATCACCCTCATACCTCAATCCATCCAATCTACCCTCCTAACCAAAAATCGAACTTGCTCCTTAAGAACAAGTACGATTTTAGAAAGGCCAAAGCAATGTGAGAAATAGAACGAGTTAATAAAAACAAAATTAAATGTTTAATATTAAACTATCAATTGTTTTAACAACCGTTTTTCTTTGTGTGTTAAAATTTTTCCTGGGAGGAAATCTATCCTTCCGTGCCCCGGAGTAACTTCCTTTCACAACGGAACCCGAAACTGAATCACCCAGACGTCTTTCAAAAAAACCTACGATTGGTGAAACCCGACCACAGGACCCGAAGGTATAAAGACCAGGTACCGCACAGAAGGGGGGGCCGACTCCGCCTGCAGCGATCCAGGACGCCACGCCGACCGCCTCGCCGACGAACCCTGGGACAATCCCGATACACGACCCTGAGATCCCGAAGCCTACCCGAGCAGGATCCAAACCCTTCAATACCAGAAATAGACCGAATCAACCAGAGGTATGACCCAATATTGTACACTCTCTCTTGGCGCGGTCCCTTCGAATAACGCGCAAGTAAGTAGTCTTTGTATGTTAGGATTAGGTTGTTTAAATAAATGTTTGTTTTGTGATTAAAAGTCGTCTGTAATTCGAATATCGCTCACACTTTACCGACGGCCCCTCTCACCTTCTCCACTCGACCTGACAAAAGAGTCCCGACTTTCCGGGATAGAAAAAGCATTTTCTAAGCCATCCACTGACCAGTGGGCAGTTCTCACCAAACTGTTGCCTATCAAAAAGAGGTACGACCTCGTCCTACCTCAGGCTACCCACATATATATATATTATTTTTTAATTGAAAGAAATAAAACATATATATATATATTATGTAAATAAGATGGACAAAAGTTCGTGCCAAAAATAAATTTTTTCCTCCAAATTACCAGAAGTAGTTGACTGCCATCTCGTGGCGGACAGTATCGTCTACTCTTGAAGCAGGGATCAAACATGACACCGTACCGTTAGTGAGGATCGCCTAAGATTTTACCGTTTGATTTATTTTAAAGGTAAATATAAGGGTACTAACAATTATATTTATCTTATAGTTACCATAATCGCATAATTATGTCTGAATATGAGCCAGAGAAAAAGAAAAAACGGACATATACTTATAATTTTCAAGAAGATTGGGAAGATAATTATTTTTTTTATTTATTTTAAGAACAAATGTATCTGTTTGATTTGCAATTCAACAGTTGCTATTGGAAAAAAGTGCAACGTAGAACGACATTTTACAACGGTTCATAAAAAATATGATACTGAATATCCTATTAAAAGCAGTTTAAGAAAATCTAAAGTGAAAAAATTAAAAGCCACATTAGTTGCCCAACAATCTGTATTTAATAAGTCCGTGACTAAATCAAGAGCTTCTACAATTGCTTCATTTAAGATTGCACATATACTTGCAATGCACAAAAAACCCTTTGACAATGGCAACATAATTAAAGAAGCAATGCTTGCTGCATCACAAACATTGTTTCAAGAATTTAAAAATAAGAATGAAATTATTTCAGCTATTGAAAATGTTCCATTATCAAGAAATTCAGTCACTTGTAGAATAGAAGCAATGTCTGAAAATATCAAATTACAAAGATAGAAAGATTTAGAAAAATGTGTTTTTTTAAGTTTACAATGTGATGAATCAACAGACATCTGTAATATTGCGCAAATAAATATTTATATAAGGATGGTCTTTAACGATTGCAAAGTGAAAGAAGATATACTATNTATATTATGTAAATAAGATGGACAAAAGTTCGTGCCAAAAATAAATTTTTTCCTCCAAATTACCAGAAGTAGTTGACTGCCATCTCGTGGCGGACAGTATCGTCTACTCTTGAAGCAGGGATCAAACATGACACCGTACCGTTAGTGAGGATCGCCTAAGATTTTACCGTTTGATTTATTTTAAAGGTAAATATAAGGGTACTAACAATTATATTTATCTTATAGTTACCATAATCGCATAATTATGTCTGAATATGAGCCAGAGAAAAAGAAAAAACGGACATATACTTATAATTTTCAAGAAGATTGGGAAGATAATTATTTTTTTTATTTATTTTAAGAACAAATGTATCTGTTTGATTTGCAATTCAACAGTTGCTATTGGAAAAAAGTGCAACGTAGAACGACATTTTACAACGGTTCATAAAAAATATGATACTGAATATCCTATTAAAAGCAGTTTAAGAAAATCTAAAGTGAAAAAATTAAAAGCCACATTAGTTGCCCAACAATCTGTATTTAATAAGTCCGTGACTAAATCAAGAGCTTCTACAATTGCTTCATTTAAGATTGCACATATACTTGCAATGCACAAAAAACCCTTTGACAATGGCAACATAATTAAAGAAGCAATGCTTGCTGCATCACAAACATTGTTTCAAGAATTTAAAAATAAGAATGAAATTATTTCAGCTATTGAAAATGTTCCATTATCAAGAAATTCAGTCACTTGTAGAATAGAAGCAATGTCTGAAAATATCAAATTACAAAGATAGAAAGATTTAGAAAAATGTGTTTTTTTAAGTTTACAATGTGATGAATCAACAGACATCTGTAATATTGCGCAAATAAATATTTATATAAGGATGGTCTTTAACGATTGCAAAGTGAAAGAAGATATACTATTAGTTTTGCCACTACAAGGAAATACACGTGGAAAGGACATATACGAAGTTATTAAAAACTACATTAAAAAAATTAATCTGCCCCTTCAAAAACTTGTGTCCATAACAACTGATGGAGCACCTGCTATGATTGGTTCTGGTGTTGGCTTCATCGCATTATGTAAGAATGATGCTGAGTTTCCAAATTTTTTTCATTATCACTGCATCATCCATCAACAGGCGTTAGGTACAAAGGTGTTGCATTATGAACATGTCATGAAAGTTGTTATAAAAATTGTAAATTCTATTCGAGCCATACCACTTCAGACAGATTATTTAAAATACTGACTGATGAACTTGATGCTGAATATGGAACTTTAATGTTACATTCTGAAGTTAGATGGCTTAGTAAGGGAAAAGTCTTACAACGATTTGTAGATCTTCTACCAGAGATAAAACTGTTTGTAGAATCCAGAAATGAAACTTATGAAGAACTTAATGATCATGTCTGGTTGTCAGATTTATCCTTTCTTACTGATATAACAGCCAAAATGAATAAACTCAATCTTGAACTTGAAGGGGAACAAAGAACTCTTTTTCAATTAATAGGAAGTGTAAATGCATTTCAGTCAAAATTAAATTTGTGGATATCCCAAATTAAAGGATGTAACTTCAGCCATTTTCCAAATTTACAGAATTATATTCATAAATATAAGATAATTGAATCAGATAAATATTCTGAAAATCTTGCTGAACTTAAAAATAATTTCGAAATTAGATTTTCTGATTTTCGTAACATTCATCCAATTGTTTCATTCATTTTAAATCCATTTGTTGATATTAATATTTCTGAAATATCACAAAAAATTGCAAGTATATTGAATAAAAATGTCAGTATTTTAGAAATGGAAATAATTGATTTTCAATCTGACCTACAATTAAAAGCAAGAGTATCACAAACTGATTTTTGGACACTTGTGGATGAGAGAAAATATCCACTTGTAAAGGAAACTTTTCAAAGGTTAAACTCCCGCTTTGGATCAACTTACCTTTGTGAAAGTGGATTTTCGACAATGAAATTTTTAAAATCAAAGTTCAGATCCAGAATGACGAATGAGCATCTAAATGATTGTATGACTCTTGCTGTAACACCTTACGCACCAGAGTACAATAAACTGGCAGAAGACATGCAATGTCAGTCTTCACACTGATTATTAATAAATAAGTTTTGTTTGTCCTGTATCATATTTAATTTGTAGTAGATTAGTAGTAGTGTAATATTATTGTGTATTCTTTTACCTATTGTCGCTGAATTTTTCAAGAAAAAGGTCGTCGTCCTATGTGTGGCTCGCCTAAAATTTTTAAACTCTTCATTTGCTACAAGTAGACTAAAGGTTGGGCATCATTGCCATATGGCAAATGGTCTATCATCTGAGAACAGGTCTGCAATTGACAAAGTCGACGTTTCTTTTGTTTTCCCTCTGTTTACAAGTCAACACCTTACAAGTGGTATATTACCCGATAGCATGTGGGTCTAATTGACAAGGTCGCGCTTTTTTTTGTTCCCTCTCTGCTAAAAGGTCAATGCTTTACAAGTATTGATATATAAAGCCTTTGGTGAGGTGCTGGATTTATTCAGTCACGATGCCTAAGCCAATATCTAAAGACCTACGACAGCTGATAATACGACGCCACAATGAGGGGAGAAGTTCAGACGAAATAGCAGAGATGTTCAAAATTTCTACAAGAACTATCCAGCGCATTGTGAAATTATCCCTAGACACTGGTTCCGTGTCACCGGGGAAAGTGAAGGGCCGCGAACGTCAGACGACAGAAGTGGAGGACGCTCGCCTACAAGCCTGCAGCCGGGAGAACCCATTCAAAACGGCGGCAACACTCCGAAGGGAGCTAGATTTAAACGTATCGACGAGTACTGTAAGAAGAAGGTATGTAACATTTGTAGTATAATAGTAAGAAACATAAAAAGCAAAATAATATATATATTTTATTAATAGGTTGCAACAAGGTAATTTGTTTGGGCGAAGGGCGGCCATAAAACAGGTGTTAACAGTAGCGAACCAATTCGATCGTCTGGGGTTTGCCCAAGAGTATCTCCGATGGACCACAAATGGTTGTCGTCGGTGATATTTACCGACGACAAAATATTTTCCTCAGATTCCAGCGGGCCTGTGTGGGTGCGTCGCCCACCATCTACTAGGTATAACCCTGAATATGTGTGGCGCACCCAAAGCCGGCATTTTTTCATTGGTGAGTGTTTTAATGTTGTGTTATCGTGTATCTAGGTCATTAACTCTTTGAATATGACAACTTATCTGGTTGTTCATTTTTTAAATCACAACTTTATTGACTTTTTTTCTGTTTACACGTGTATGGGGATGGATGACCTCAGCTGGTCCCGGAAAGTTGGTCATCATAGACGGTCTCCTCACCACCATGCAATACATCGAAATCCTCGAGCAGGTGTTGTTGCCGACGGTAAGGGCCATCTATGGCAAAGAACGTTTTTTCTTTGTTCACAACCGCTCCCCCGTACACACAGCCAACGTGTGTAGGAAATGGATAGCCGAACATCCACAAGTTATCGACATGAGATGGCCAGGGAGGGGAGCCGACCTCAATCCTATTGAGCACGTTTGGGCCGAGTTCACCTGCGCCCCGTTCATGTGACAAATCCCAACGACTTCTGGGAAGTCGTCCACGGTCGTTGGAAAAAGTTTTGTGAGGGCGTACTCTGCCAAAATCTTGTGGCGAGTATGCCTAAACGACTGAATCAGGTCGTAAACAACGTCGGGATGTGGACAGAGTACTGACCGTCTCCCCTCCATCTGTGATATTTAACTGGTTGTTTTACCAGACATTTTGTAAATAAGTTTTTGTAAATATGCATTGTAAATAGATTTTTGTAAATATATTTTTGTAAATAAATGAATGTTCTTAGATATTAAATGTAAATAGTCATTTCTAAACTTTGTGTTTTTCTAAGTCACGAAACTATTATAACGTTTAATTGTGCAATGTTATTATAACTGTTACTTGACATTACTCACGCTCGAGTTTTTCTCGTGCAGGTTACATAGTTAAAATCAAAAAATATTTATTTTTTTATTTTCGGATGTTTTTTTAAGTCTAAATTTTTTCAAAAATTTTTTCCCGCGCAAAAAAATTTTATCACGATTATAATCAACCTTTAATGACGATTAACGCTTAATTGTTTTTTACGGGATTTTTTTAAAAATCAAATTTCATTCATCGTTCTAAAGTTCTAGTGCTTTGGTAAAGTTAATTAAAGCTACTTTCTTGTGTCAAAAACGACCTCCAATAGTTTTTTAATTAATAGATTTTATTATATATACGTTTAATTAAGTCGGGGGAGTCGAAAATCGCAATAAAAAACGTAATTTTTCAAAAATGTTTAAAAATATACAGCCAGCTAGTATTCATCCTACTAGATCTAAATATAAAAATATGTTTGAGATATGTTTATGAAATATACAAAGTTAAAACTGTGAGATATATAATTAGTAGTTAATATTTTTGTTCAAAGATAGATAAATGAAGCATTCTGTACTAATATGTTGTATTAACAAACACCGCCCTTGTAGCAGGTGAAAGCCTTATACGCTTAATAAATTGAATTGAATATATATTCATCCTACTTTATACCCTTGGAGACTTCTGTGAGAATGACACCGATGAGTAATTGTGTTTACAGCTGGATGACCTTGAGAACAACTGGGTGGTGTTTCGGGAGAGAGTTCGCAGAAAGGCGAGACAATGGAAAGTAAACTTTCTCTTCAGAATTAACTCATTTCTTTCGTTTTTTTCAGTTTTATGTTTAATTACATTAAAATTAAAAATCCTGAATGGAAATAGAGTAAAATGGGTTAATGTGACTTGCTGTCAGATTGGTCGCTTAGATATATTTGAAAATTTACAATTTTATGTAAAATAGTATGTGACAAAGTATGAATACACCTGAACCCCATAACAATATATATTAATCCACTTTAAGTATTATTATTTTATTTAGAAGTCATTTTAAACATTATTACTTCAAATTATGAAATGGAATGTATTAAGACGGAGGGGAAGAAGCGATGCGTGGTAAAAAAAATGTGTTTTTATCTAAATTATAATAAAATTTACTTATACTTGTGTGAAATATCGACAATTTTCTTCTGGAGAAATGTTTCTTGATAAAATTAATTATCTTTATGAATAAAACTTTCAATAATACATTATTTACAATGACTGACATTCCTTTATTATCCTTTGTGTATTATGTATTAAACAAAGTATCCTAGATTGTAGCATAATAATGTGTATAAAAACTGAAAATTCTGTTAATTTGTAAACACAGATACTCTCACATAAAAAGCATAGGCCTACTTAAACTCTTTACCTTTCACCTGACTTATTCGCAATTGAATTTTCCTAAATAAAACTATTTAATTTCTAATTTATTTGACAGAAAGAAATGTCTATGGCCCGTATTTCCTATATTTAATATTTTTGTCATGCCATTATTTCAAATATCGAAAAAAAATAATTTCTAATATCGAAATATATGAACATTTTCATGTGTAAATATTATATTTCGATACTTTTAATGACAATAAATTATAAGCTTGTTGGAGGGATGTCAGCTTATTTGTCTGTTCTTTCATATAATTCGTTTTTTCTGTATTTACACTCAATTTATGTAAAAATTATTTTATTGTGCTGTTTATATTTAATATCTTATCTTTGTTTCTGTTTACTAAATTGAATTTTACAGTAAAATACTGGGAAACTATATAATAAAAACCAAACATAAATTGCATAGCTTAATTTTTACAATATCGACTTAAAATTGATAAAAGAATTATTATTTAATAATTATAATTAATTTGTACGCAAACATTAAGTTTTAAACATATTTCTTCATATGCTTTCGGTCACGTGATCGTTCTATATTTAGATTTAACTTGGCGGAAAATTTTGCGCAGTGGCGTTTTCATGTCTAATTTGCATATTTGAGATATTAGTAGTATACATATGACACGTACCAATCACAAAATTCGTTTGACACGTACTAATCACAAAATTAATTTATATACGTAATTTTAAAATTACTTATATTTTACAATTAAACATATAAGAAATGTGATTGGACAATTGTTTCATATAAATTCAATTTTAATATACGTTAGAATTTATTTTAAAGACTGAATTAGTTATGGAAGCATACGGTTTTATTATTACCTACGATGGAGAGAGAAATTATTCTGTTTCTCCTCGTTTGTACAAGTCTTTGGATAGCTGTATTGCTGCGGTAAATAAGTTTTCTTTTGATATTCCCGATAATTTTCCAATTGTTTTGCGTTATTTTAAAGTTAACGGAGAAATATGGAAGGGAGATGGAAAGTTTGGATTTGTAATTGTTGACGAAAATGAAAGAATTAACGAAGTAAGTAATAACTTATATTATTCGTTCGAGGAATGTTCGGATGTTATGAACGAAGTTTATGTTGAAAAGTCCAAGAAGAATATATTAATATTTAGAGAGATAAATTGTGGATCAAAGCATTATAAATTTACGAAAGTTCATAAAATCGACTGATGATAATGTATTTCAAGCATCCGAGTAACTGTATAATCGCTGGGCCGTCGCAATGTGGAAAGATAACGCTGGTAAGAAAAATTATTCGCTGTAAAATTTATGAAAAATTATTAACAAAATTTTATGGTGTTATTCTGTATATTTGCCGTTTTTTCGTGACGAAAAACATATTACATTTATGTATGGTTTACCTGAATCCGTGCAAGGATGGGATTTAGTAATAATTGATGATTTGATGCACGAACTGGGCTCAAAAACTGCGTTCCTCTTTACCACAGAGTCTCACCATTATAACGTAAGCGTGATCCCGATAATGCAGAATTTGTTTCCGAAAAATAAAATTATGAGGGATATAACTTTAAATACTAATTATTTGATTTTGTTTAAAAATAATCGTGATGAAAGTCAAGTAAGTTGTTTGGGACGGCAAGCTTTTGCAGGAAAATGTAATTTTTTTATGGATGCGTATAAAAAAGCAACGGAAAAAAATTTTGGTTATTTGTTATTGGATTTTCACCCAAAAACAGACAAGAAACTTTCGGTGCGAGATTCGTGTTTTCCAAATGAACAAGGTATTTTTTGGCTATACTTACCGATAAAATGAAGAACGTAAAGAAAAATTACCATATGCTGGCGCTTTTAGCTGAAACTACTCCGTCTCAGCGAAGAGCAATATTGAAAGAGGCTACTCCCGATCAAGTTAAAGTTTTGTGCGAAATATGCGATAATTTGCGGAGAGGAAATATTCCTGTCAATGTTCATAAATTACGAAAATATAAAAAAATAATCCGGAAATTAAGTGAAAAGCATGTTCCTTTAAATACTAAGAAAAGAATTTTAGTTAATCAATCTGGTGGATTCCTTCCTCTTCTACTGGCGCCATTATTGTCTATGGCAGGAGGATTAATTGGTAAAGTAATAGGAAAAAGAATTTAATGGCAAAGCAAATGGCTTTAGTCCCTCCCAAACTGTTAGCAGCATATCGGAAACCTTAAATAAGAATTGGTAATAATATTGAAGAATTACTCGAGAGCACCGATTTATCCGACGATAGTAAAGTTAAATTATTAAGTCAACTGATTTCGAGATATCAGAGAACGATTCATGCACCAAAAGAACCAGTTAGAGTATCCGTCGTACCGGACGAAAATCAAGAAGTGTCTTCTCCACCCGAAGAAAAACCCGATGATAATGGGGAGGATGTAATTGTTAAACAAATTACTATATCTGTCCCTCAGTTATATCAAAAATATGTACCGCATTTAATCGACAGACTGAGACAAAATCATTACGGATGGAATGAAAAAGGCGAATTGACAATCGGCGGTAAGCCAGTTGCTGGAAGTCATATGGTGGATTTAATATCCCATTTAATGAGAAATAAAAAAACTCCATTAGCCCCTTCCAGTTTTAATGAATTTTGGCAAGCCTTACGAGAAATAAATATTCCTAAAGAGTGGATTGGAAACAAAAGTTTGGCGACTACCCGAAATCGGCGAGAAACCAAGATATCAACCGATACCTGTTGAAAGTCCCGAAGAAATTTTTTCTTCAATTTCTCCGAGAATATTTTACCAGTGGAAAAAATCATCTACGAAAAAAAGGAAAAAGGGTCCTGAATGGAGAAACTTTTGAAATCAATATATTATAATCCTAAATCTTCGGCATCGTTTGGAGGAGTGAGTAAACTAGCTAAAGCTTCTAATTTACCAAAATCTGTGGTCGAAAAATGGCTGTCTTGCCATTAATTTAATTAAGAAGTTTTTTTNTATTAATAAATAAGTTTTGTTTGTCCTGTATCATATTTAATTTGTAGTAGATTAGTAGTAGTGTAATATTATTGTGTATTATTTTACCTATTGTCGCTGAATTTTTCAAGAAAAAGGTCGTCATCCTATGTGTGGCTCGCCTAAAATTTTTAAACTCTTAATTTGCTACAAGTAGACTAAAGGTTGGGCACTGCTGTCATATACATTTGCACTGTTAATAAATACTTGCTTATTTTTGAATGCATTGGAAATTCAGAATTATATAGTATTACAAGAGGATCTTAATTGGTGTTTCTTATATTCTTATAAATCAACAATGTCATCTAAACAAAACAACTATAGTTAAAATATGTGAAAAAACTACAGGAAATGAAAGACAAAATTAAAGCTCTAAGGAAGAAATTCAGCAGCTCCTGACACACTTTCATTGTAAATGAATATTATAAGTACACNTTTACAACATACTTTACCAAAATAAATGAAAATATACCTAAAAAATTTAGGGTGCCGTGGATTGGACATCCCTGCTTTACACTGTACACTACACTAAGGAATATTAAATATATATTGAATAACAATGAAAATTTATGATGAAAATATTGAAATTATTTTATTGGAACAAAGATAGTTATGTAATGAATAAGCATTATTCTTTTTAATAATAATAAAAAAATAATGTTTATGCACTTTGTTATAATAGATAAACTACATAATCTTATAAATGTATACATATGTATAAAAAATTTAAATTTATAAATATATATTAACATTGTTCTTATATTTTTTATAATTATAAACTTATTATTCTATGTATATTATTATTGATTTACTGAATTGAGTTAGAAGTAATGAGTATGAAACAACTCTAAATGTAAATTTTGTTATTATATCAGATGATACTTTAATCTGGAATTTATATATTATAACATATTCAAAATGCATAATAAATGTAATTGTAATTGAAATATAAATTTGTCATAAAAAAATTCTTAGAGTTGAGCAATAATACAACTTATTAACAATAAAGATTGCTAATATTTAGTAAAAGAACTAGGATATGATTGATTAATCTTATTAGATAGCATTTGTAATGTGGAAGTTAAAGATATTTATAATATTTACATCAAATATTAAAAATTTAAAACACAAAATGAAACTTATCTTTCAGCCAACCTATATGATTAAGCAGTTATTAGTCTGTATGTAATCCTAGCTTCTTATTTAAAAAAGAAAAAATTTACAAATATCAGTTAACAGTGGAGGAATTGATTGATTACAATAGAATTTTCAGAAATTTATCATTATTAATATGATAATTTAAGGAAAAAACAAATATATAAGAAGGTTTACATAAATACATCCACAGGTAAATCCACAAATAAAAAAATTATTAATGATTAATGCAGTTTTATGGTTATCACTAAAAATTCTGTTTAACTTATTGTTTTCGTTAAATCATATTCGTTAGATTTGTTGTACGAAGAAAAACATTTTAAATAAATGAAAGATTAGTTTGTTTCAAATGCTACCGTTGAAAGATTTACTTTTTTGATGACTGATATGTATCTAAACTAGAAATTAAACAAATTATTAAGTGTTTTCAGAAGAAAACTTTTTTGTATTTTATTTACTATTGTAGTGAGTGGAAGATTTTATTAAACAAAAGAAGAGATATTACAAATGTTCAAATATTTTTTTTTTCTTAAATAAATCCTCAAATTTTCCATGACATACTAACAAAACTTTTGTTTTTGTAAGGAATTTTATTCTAGAAATAAATATATATATATATAGAATTATTACATAAGTATATAGTCATTTTCAAATTATTATAGATAGCCTAATTGAGAGAACGAGATTTCATTTTAAAAAATATTTTGCAGATCAAATAATTTAACAATTAAATACTATGCCCAACGAGTTCTTAGATATATTCGTCACGAATGCCTTCAAATCACTTGGAAAAATTTTCTTAGCCTTCCTTCTTCTTTACAAATGCTAGAGAAAGGTAAGATTATGTTTTAATTTTAAGTATTATTAAAATAAACAAATACATTATTATCATTATTATTTAGGTGCAATATTATTAGCTCAGTGGTGTCAACCTACTGAAAGAATATCTGAAGATGATGTCATATCACAGTTGGAATATTTAACACATTTAACGAAAAATGAATTACAAATAAGGCATCCAAAGCATCCTTTATTGCAAACAGAATTAATTAGAAGAGGTAATAAAATTTAATATCTTAATTATAAAACTCTTTTCTCAATTTTCAAAATAGTAATTTTTACAGATTTGAAAAATACCTTATTAATCTTTAATTTTAAGAACTTTGAAAGGTTGAAATATTAAATATTTATATTACATTTTTGAGTAAATGTTCAAATAATTAGTCAATAACTGATATTTTGTTTATTTTAATATATTTAAATTTAATATTAAATTTAAACATTAAACACTCTGCAAAATATATTGCTGTCTACTTATAATATAGCACATATTACTAATTTACTCTGTTTTGATAATATGAATGGAAACAAAAATAATTGTTAAAATATTTATCTTGTCATTTTTAGTAAAAGGTTTAATGATATAAAATATAATTTATTTATTCCATTCTGTATTTTAAAATGCTATAATAATGCAAATAAAGCTAGCAAAATCTTAGAAATTTAATTAATAACAACAATTTGATTGTTTATTTACTACAATCATATCTTTTCTATTTTTTTTTTTTTTAATTCTAAATTCAAACTTTAATGTAAGTAGTTTTAAATCACATGATTATTTTTTTCATTAATAACAATATGATTTGTTCAGTAAAGATCATTTTAATTTCATTACAATAGAATAAAATAAATGTTATAGTTTTGGAAATGTCAACCAGATTTTTTATTTTGCGCATGTATTCTTAATTGACAATCTATGTCTCTCAGTGTACAAGTGTACTCTTACTAATCCAAACTTGTGCTGCACTACTGCAAACTATGCTCAATCCAGACCCATTTTATTCATTTTTCTACTAAATACCCTGCTGAAAATGAAAACAAGTTATAGATTATTTTAAAAAAACTGACAAAGTTTTGAAATTAATGTGTACTACACATCTTACATTTATATATACCCTTATTAATAAAAAAGATTTTGTACAATAATTAGTTTGGATTAGTGAGAGTGCATTGCATTTATGATATGCTTGTGGAGATTATATTATTAGAAAATGGCACCATATATACTTTGAAGTGTGATAATTTAATAAAGCAGAGAATAGTTGCAAATAGCTATATTATACAATCTTCAAAAAACTGGTTAGATAGTCAAAGAGAACACTCACCAAATCCAAGATCCAGCAGAATAGAAAAATTTTACTGGATCTTCATGTTGGGAGTGTTATCTTTAAATAGCTATATAATTGCAATGTGAAGCAATAACTTATCAGTGTTCAGTTGAAGTATGGTTCTCTTTAGCAGATCAAATGCTAATGATACAAATTTTAAAAAAGTAATTTTTATTTTAAGTTATTAATTTCATAAAATGAAGTATATTTAGTAACAAGCAAAGATATTGACTTCAATTTAAAATAAAAACAAACTAAAACTGTGAACCTCATACTTATGCAGATATTTTAATATTTTTTTATATCTTCTTTTTGAATTAAAAAATGAGATCTTGAAAAAATATTTAAAATATAATTTCAGATGTGTCATTGGAAAATTCACTTTGGCAACCAGCTGACTGTAGAAGTATTTTGTCTTGTATTACTACTGTTCTTTTTAACCAACAAGAATTTAATGGAAATCGTGATGACTATTATTCTGCTCTGAATTCCTATATCGATCAGGTATTTTTTGTTAAAATAGTATTTATGGTGGTGATAATTAAATTTAATTTAGTTTCAATTTAAAATATTTAGAAGTTTTGAGTTTTATAAATATGTATTAATATTAATATATTTTTATTGAAACTGTAAAGGATTTCTTCCATATTGTAATAAAAATTCCTAATAATTCCATTCAGAACAAATTTATACACACAAGATAGGGCAATTAAGTTCTAATTGTGTATGAATTTAATGGAAGATATTCAATATTTTCATATTAGAATGAAACAGTAAAACAGCAAAATCGTATTTGGGACAAGACTGTCTTGGAGACTCACTACTAAGTGGAATCAATTTGATGCTCAAGACAGGTCTTGTTCTCATTCTCCAATCTTCTTTGGTATCACTGCTTTTGGGCATAATCGTTCAAACAAATGCATTGTGGATGACCTCGTGGCCATGACCACGAGGTCATCCACAATGCATTTTCAATGAAATTAACCTATCCAATTTCAAAATTTCTCTCCGTTATGTGTTAGCCCAGGTTGAACTTTTGTTGATGTGTAACGAAAATTTTCCCGTATTTGAAAAAATAATCATGGCTATTGTATCACCCAAAATTATTTTTTTATTTTGCACAAACAATATACAATTTAACCCAATTATAATGTCATCGGATGTAACAACAACCCTAATATAATATCAAATTTTTATTGGTCCCATGATTTTAAAAATCCTACTTGTAACGACATAAAATCCTGTTTTAATGTCATATTTGAAACACTCCCAAATTTACAAAATTAGATTACAAATTTTATTTAACAAATAAAAATACTACATGTTCAGTCCTAGGGTCAGAGTCCACTTCCTAGATTGACTGTGGGTGGCACTCTCACCACCTGACTTTGGTTTGCCTGTTTATAGAAGAGGGTTGCCATTTTGTATTTTATTTTGACTCTGTTCTCGGTCCCCTGAGTACCTACAAGTCTGCATTTTTTATTCGTGCATGATTTGGACACCTAATACTCTGTGCCAAATTGCAACTCCTTCATACTTCTAAGTTGGTAACATAGCAGGCAGTACGATTTTATAAACAAGACATTCTTGTCAAAAAAAGCTTTAATATTCAAAATAATCTCATTGAGAAGATAATTTTTGCACTTATTTTTATAGCAAATGAATTATGAAATGTGTTAAATATGTAATGCCTCTATATTTATATACAAGATCAATGATAGATATTGAAACCAAAACAAGAACAAAGTTTAATATTTCTAATTTAATCAACCTACTTCATTTTTTGACATAATCCTCTTCAGGTTCAATACAGATATGCCAATACTTAACAAGTTTATCAAACCCATTTCTGTAGAAATCTTCAGGTTGTTCTCATAACCATTTCCTTGTGGCAACTTTTAAGTCTTCATTACAGGTGAAATAACTTCCTTAGAGATGTTGTCTCTTGAGAGTACAAAACAACTAAAAGTCTGAGAATGCCAAATCTGAGTTATAAGGAGGATGGTCAAAACCTTCACACCTGCATTTCTGTATAGCTTATGATGTGAAAACGCTGGTATAGAGTCTAGCATTGTCATGCTACAGAATCATTGGTTTAGTCCACAATTCGGCATCATAAACTGCCACTAGTCTTTCATGAAGTTCTTTGAAAGACACACATTCACAAATTGAAAACTTTATAACTGATCATTATTTAACATATAAAGACCAAATGAAAAAGTATCATCCATTTTAAACATAATTAAATTCAAACTAAAACATGTTTGATGTTCTACTACACATTAGTTAGCTAAGGAAACAAAGAATCATTTTTAATATAAAATACAGAAGAAACTAAGTACTCTTCCTTTCTGTCCTGTCCAATCACCAGGAACAAAAAAGTTTTCCTTTGCAGAGACAACCTTTTATTAGTGGCTCTGTTGTTTTACATAATTTTACAGAGGCATAGTTTTTAATAAAAGGTTGTCCCTGTGAAAGAAGACTTTTTTTTTTTTCCTGGTGATTGGACAGGATAGAAAGGAAGACAGTTTAGTTTCTTAGTATATTCACAATGTAAAATACTTGTCTTCCTTTTAATTGAAATAAACAAAAAATGACCTTCAATAAACTGTTTTCTAGATAACAACTATGTGAAACCTCCATGCACTTGCATGGAGGCACTACATATTGAATGGCTTATGTATTGTTAAATTTGTTTAAATTTATTTGTCGTGTTGTAATCATTTTGTTTAATTTTCTCATTCAAATGTGTAATAAATTTAAATTTAACCTCCAGAACTTTGCCAGGACCAGTAGAATTCTCTTGAACTTTGTTGAAGGGATACACAACCATAAGAAATTTTAAGCTCCCAACTTATATCAAAATAAACATGTTTCAATTGTAAAGGTGCTTGTTTCAGTATGTCCACTACCATCCGCATAGCATTCTAAACACCTTGTACTGTACATCTTGACTTGAGTCTAACCAACTCTCCCCTTTCCTGGTCGGCAATCCTTATATATTGCTATGTCTGTGATTTGCACAATATAAAAATCTTTAATGTGACTTTGTATGAATTATGAATACTGCATGATGATTGTTTCTGCATACAAAATCATTTATCTTGTATGCAGAAACAATCATATTAGGAAGTTGTCATAGATATCTGGAATTTTGTTTTATTTGTTTTTAATTGGGTGCTACTTGTGGTTGGATTTGTATTGCTCGAGGGTGAGTACTGTGCTCACCCTACATATTTTTGTATTCTTAATGATTTGCTTTGAGAAATTTTACTAAGATCAGGAAGTTTTGTTATAAGTAATACAAATTTTAATGTTTATTTTACTTTACTTCAGTTATAATATATTAAAAGTAGAAACAGAAAATAGATATCTAATCAGATTGATAAATACAGAAATACAATAACTGAAATTATTGTTAAACATAATTATAATTTCTATTCAAGTTCTGCATCTGTTTAGTCTTGATTTTTAAAATTGCATTGTTTACAGATTGTTATGTGGGATCTGCAGATCAGTGCAGTAGGCTACATGTTACACTCTTGGATGCTGGTTTCCTATTTTTTTTTTTTTTTTTTTTTTTTGGATAATATGTACACTTTTCTCTTGATACTGATGGAGGATCTGGTTTCTTCCTCAACGCTTCTAGAATTTTCATAGAGATTCTCACTGTCAATGTCTCCATCCTACATTTGATTCCTCAGACTCCTCAAGCCATTTCAGAAACATTTCATCATGTTTTATAATAGTATTTATGTGCAGTATCACTTTGCAATTAGAATAATGCCACTTCAAATGCAAAAAACAAGACACTGATTACTCATGGGTGAGTGCTGCGCAAACTTGTCCAACACAACCAAAACAGACTGCGCCAAAAGCTTTAGTGATCACTGTTATTCCTGATTCTGGTATCTTGTCGAAGGGGATACTCGGGTAGAAAGGTAGGTGAGAGAGTTTGGCCACAAAACTTCCAAGAAGCCCAAGTTACTCACATTTTAAAACGAAAGGTGAGTGCAGTCCTTCTCCAAGTAACAGCTGGTTAACCCCTTCTCAGTCACTTCCTCATTCCATATATCCAGTGGTGATATTCAGCGGGTTCGCACAGGTTCGGCCGAACCTGTGCGAACCCGCTGAATATCACCACTGGATATATGGAATGAGGAAGTGACTGAGAAGGGGTTAACCAGCTGTTACTTGGAGAAGGACTGCACTCACCTTTTGTTTTAAAATGTGAGTAACTTGGGCTTCTTGGAAGTTTTGTGGCCAAACTCTCTCACCTACCTTTCTACCCGAGTATCCCCTTCGACAAGATACCAGAATCAGGAATAACAGTGATCACTAAAGCTTTTGGCGCAGTCTGTTTTGGTTGTGTTGGACAAGTTTGCGCAGCACTCACCCATGAGTAATCAGTGTCTTGTTTTTTGCATTTGAAGTGGCATTATTCTAATTGCAAAGTGATACTGCACATAAATACTATTATAAAACATGATGAAATGTTTCTGAAATGGCTTGAGGAGTCTGAGGAATCAAATGTAGGATGGAGACATTGACAGTGAGAATCTCTATGAAAATCCTAGAAGCGTTGAGGAAGAAACCAGATCCTCCATCAGTATCAAGAGAAAAGTGTACATATTATCCAAAAAAAAAAAAAAAAAAAAAAAAAAAAAAAAAAAAAAAAAAAAAAAAAAAAAAAAAAAAAAAAAAAAAAAAAAAAAAAAAAAAAAAAAAAAAAAAAAAAAAAAAAAAAAAAAAAAAAAAAAAAAAAAAAAAAAAAAAAAAAAAAAAAAAAAAAAAAAAAAAAAAAAAAAAAAAAAAAAAAAAAAAAAAAAAAAAAAAAAAAAAAAAAAAAAAAAAAAAAAAAAAAAAAAAAAAAAAAAAAAAAAAAAAAAAAAAAAAAAAAAAAAAAAAAAAAAAAAAAAAAAAAAAAAAAAAAAAAAAAAAAAAAAAAAAAAAAAAAAAAAAAAAAAAAAAAAAAAAAAAAAAAAAAAAAAAAAAAAAAAAAAAAAAAAAAAAAAAAAAAAAAAAAAAAAAAAAAAAAAAAAAAAAAAAAAAAAAAAAAAAAAAAAAAAAAAAAAAAAAAAAAAAAAAAAAAAAAAAAAAAAAAAAAAAAAAAAAAAAAAAAAAAAAAAAAAAAAAAAAAAAAAAAAAAAAAAAAAAAAAAAAAAAAAAAAAAAAAAAAAAAAAAAAAAAAAAAAAAAAAAAAAAAAAAAAAAAAAAAAAAAAAAAAAAAAAAAAAAAAAAAAAAAAAAAAAAAAAAAAAAAAAAAAAAAAAAAAAAAAAAAAAAAAAAAAAAAAAAAAAAAAAAAAAAAAAAAAAAAAAAAAAAAAAAAAAAAAAAAAAAAAAAAAAAAAAAAAAAAAAAAAAAAAAAAAAAAAAAAAAAAAAAAAAAAAAAAAAAAAAAAAAAAAAAAAAAAAAAAAAAAAAAAAAAAAAAAAAAAAAAAAAAAAAAAAAAAAAAAAAAAAAAAAAAAAAAAAAAAAAAAAAAAAAAAAAAAAAAAAAAAAA